AAGGCATAATGAGAGTAAGATAGGAAGACATCGAAAATGTGATGCATAATCCCAGAGATAGAGATAAAGAGAGCACTGACTCACAAAGAGTATCTTTTCCATCCGAGTGGATTCCACTATTAATTAAAAGCCCGAAGAGTATTTGCAAGATTTTGCGATGGTTATATTTTAAGCTAAAGAAATGTTAAACTGGTTCTTTGATTTTGATTTTGATTTTGATTTGCAGTATGTAGTGGTTACGTTACTCCTGAGGAGCTGGCTCGTGTACATAACACACCTTCATCCTTTTTCAGCCCCTTCTCACTTCCCTCCACCTCCCTCCATCTTTTGGGACCCTTCACATTTGTAAAAGACTTATTTCCCTCTTTCCGATTACCTTTTATTTTGCTCTTTATTTATACCTTGAGTTTCTCCTATGAGAGGCACCATATATACTTACGCTTTTGTGTCTAATTTATATCCCTTTACATTGTGGTTCTTGAAAAATTCTGAAATCCCAAGAGAATTAGCTGTATCCTGGGTGCTTTCCCTCTGCTAGCTCACTGCCCCTCCTGGACCCTCTGCGGTACAGGTGCTGTCTTATGTCCCCTCCCACTGGGCAGAACCACTTTTGGTTGTAGACCCCATGCCCCCCGGAGTTGACCCGCCGTCTTACCCAGGCAGCCCAGAACCTCTCCTCCGCAGGCTGCTCCGGTACCTGAAGAAAGCAGTTTAGGGGGAGCGCATATCAGCAGATCGTTTTATTCTAACGTGTAGTAACTGGTGAAACGTAATAGCTGCCATGTTTGCTGTCCTGCTCATGCGCCTGGTTCTGTGCTAAGCAGTGTCAGTACGTTATTTTATTCAGTCCTCAGAATGCTCGTGAGGCTCGATTATCCTCATTTTGTAAATGATACACTTGAGAGCTCGAGAAGTGAGGTCTGCTGAGGGTCGGAGCAGTAAGTAGCAGAGCTGAATTCTGAGGCGGGTCTGCTTCCTTCCAGGGACCACGTGGCCAGCCCAACCGGGTTGTTTCCCACGTGGAGAGGCACACACGTGTCTCAGCAGCATTTGTGCCCACCTAGGGGAAGCCGTTGCCTGTGGGAAGTGCTGAGCTAGGACAGCTGATCAGGAAGCTTTATGTCGAGCAATATTAGAATATTAAAATAGGGAATAAAATATTTCTGATTCGTTTGTTTGTTTGCTTTTTGAGACAGGCTTTCTCTCTGTAGTCCAAGCTGGCCTTGAACTCGTGGCAGTCTTCCTGCCTCAGCCTCCCGAGTGCTGGGATTATAGACATGCACCACCACACCCGGCTCTGGTTCATTTTTTTTAAATCTATCAAGAAACATCTCATATTATGCTCTAGAGTACGATACCATCCCAGACATCTCACATTTTGATGCAATCGTATTTTATCTGTAATTGGAAGACATTGTAGCTGGGATAGCGTTTTGCTAAGGACATTTAAATTCTAGAGCAAGGATTTCAGTTTTGTGCAGAGAAAGAAATCCATCACAGCACTGATTCAACTAGAATTAGGGTAATGAAATCTCTAATCCCAAGAAAAGAAAAACAATGGTTACCCAATTGAGAAAACAATTTTTATAATAAAATATAAGACAATTGAGATTGTGGAGTTAGCATCCTCATTCCTGACCTTATCGGTGAAGGATAATTTGAAAGTAAGATTGCAGTACAAGAAGGCATGCTCCTTTTATCTCCACAGAACAAGGCTGTGTTGTTTATTTTGGAGAAGCACAAGTGTAAAAATCAGAGTAGTTGAACGTAGTTACGGATCTGGGCCTAGAGACCTGGTCCTCTAGTGCCTTCTGAAGTTGGCTTCTCTGTGTTTCATTGGTTGTGATAGGAGAGCCTTGCTGCACAGGCTGGTGGGAAATATTGGGTGTTAATAGCTCCACTACACCGCCTGCTCATTTATGTTCCCGAGAATGCTAACTTTTTTTTATTCGTATTGACAACTTCCACGTGTCTCAAGGTGCTCGATTAAGATTCTGCTCTGTCCACGCAGCTGTTCACAGCGCTGTTGTCATAGACTGCAGAGCGGCCCTTTCCCTCCGACTCTAGCTAAGGGAAACAGCATAGGAACACAGGGGACCTGTCCCTTTCCTAAACTCAAAGAATTCACAGAATCACTTAACACATTCAATTAACGTTTCTCGTAGAGTCCTTCATTGAATTTTCCAGTAAAGATAACTATCCATGTTTATATATTCCCAGGTTTATATGGGTCCAATTTAATGAAATGTCATGAGTGAAAATTGAGCATGCTTCAATGAAGTAGCATATATAGGAACACATAGCTTCCATTTTCCATCTCTTTAGGAATTGATTTTAGCAGGTCTGACCGTAAAAGAAACTGCGCTGGGGGTTTTATTTTCCTTTTCTATCTCTGTTCTTTCCTAGGTAGAAAATAGTCTTACTTTGAGGAACTTACTTTAAGAAACAATGTGCTTTATTAAATCCACAAATAGTAACCATTGATAATCAGCGGGTACTTCTGATCATATAAACATAGACACAAAAAAGCTAATTTTAGCTTTTAATTTCACTTTGTCCTTCTCTTTAAAAAAAAAACAAAACAACTCAGTCACTCATCAAAGTCTGTAGGAATGCCACAGTAATTAATTGGGAGTTTATTTTCTTTGACTCGTGGACATGCTAAATTCAAGTTATAGCACAGCAATATGTGATTGTAATAAATATTAATATTAGCTACCCACAAGAAGCTTTTTCCATTGGCCACAGTGGTTACTGGTCTAGAACTTGTGAGTTCAAAGAATATTACAAGGGCTGATAAAAAATTATGGTGAGTATTTAAATAAAAATAATTGTTACGGGAAAAGATACACTGCCATTAATCCCCTTCAAAATACTCCCTCTCACTTGGAACACACTTATCCCATCACTCTCGCCACTTTCTGACAAAGTTCTGGACGTCCTCTTTCAAGAGTGTCTTCCAGAGATGTGGTTTAAAAAGATGCAATGAATTCTGCTAGCAAGTGCCATGGAACAGAAAGGCAGGCGTGTAAAAACATGATGGTGTCTCCTCATCCAGCCTCATTCATTGAATCTGGCTCTTCCCCAAAATGACCATAAAAGCTGAACATTTGAATCCGCTCAGGACATCAAGACAGCCTCCACAATGCAACTAAGAAACTTACAAAACAGGACTTCCAGAGCTGCTTCAGCGTGGAGAGAATGACAGGCGAAGGGTGTTCCCAATGAGGGGGTTATTCAGAGGGGAATTGATGGCAGTGGGGGTCTTTTACTGTGATCAGTGTCTTAAACTGAATCATAGTTTCTGATTATTCTTAGCATTTATAATTTACTATAAAACAAGTTTGGAAGTTCACGAGTTAATTTTAGCACACAGTAAGCTGATTTTAACGAATTGTATTACCAAGTATGATGTCGGCCCTTTTTCTAGAGAAGACAAAGCCTTCTATTGACAATCTCACCTAACGTCCTTCTGCAGTTATCTGTGATAGTCTCACATTTGCTTTTACAGTAGCTCTCTCTCCTGCTTTCTAAGGAGTAAGGACCTCTGTAGTCATTGAATTGACCTAATATTAAACTGAAAATGCTAGGGGTGCTCTAAATGGAATAGATCCATTAAATCCTACTTCAGAGCTTTCTGAATTTCTCTCAAAAAGGTGCCTTCTTTGCCTAATAACTGATTTCTCCTCGTTCTCAAATGAACACAGATAATCTTCAACAATTGTGACAAGTCGTTTTTAGTATGAACTCAGCCAAGAAGCTCAGGTTCAAATGAAATTTCACATTTGCTGTTGGAAATGATCTTTTTTTAAAAGCCACATTTTTTGCATGTGTACTGTATTAGTGTCATACTGTTACATTATTATAATTTCAAATGAAGAATAAGCCAGTGCCTTTGTAATTAAAACTATAGAGCTACTTTTATATTTTGTTGGAACATTCTGTTTTAGATTTATTTTTCTTGTTCTTAAACTTAAAAGCATGATCTGGGTCAAAATATTATAAAGGACCAAAGTGATATCATATCTTAGATAGAGGAAATTGCAAATTAAGGTTTAATTTGAATATTTTGAATGCTGAGGATAGAATATACTCAGCTGAAAATTTTTAAATCCCTGCAATCAATCTTTCTTTCTTCTTCTTTTTTTTTTCTTCTTTCTCTTTGAGTAAGTTGTTAAGTAGCCTAGGCTGGGCTCTTGAACTTATGATCCTTCTGTCTCAGCCTCCCAGAGAGCTGGGATTACAGACATGCACCACCATACCCAGCTTCTTTCTTTGATGGTAAAAAGCCATTTTTGCCCCTGACTTAAATGGTAAAGTTCTGAATTAAGATTTTAATGAGTCCATTCAGTTTTAGAACATCCCTCACATGTTTAATTTAGCATTAGGTCATTGCTGGTCAAAAAGAGACAGAAGCATTGGAGCCTGTAGATTTGACCCTAGAATTGGGACTGATTCCCATGGTTTAGTCTCAACTTCAACCCCAGCCCCAGCGTTGAGAGGAATAAAGTTGCTTGACTGGGCCCGGGATTTAGCTCAGTGTTTTCACCGCCTGCTGCACAAGCTCAAGGACCCGAGTTCGATCCCCGGTACCAAAAAAAAAGAAGGCTTCTCCAGTAAATATAGGAGACTGTGAGAACATTTTTCTTTCTTGAAGATGAAGTTTGCCACAGAGCACAAATAATATTTCTCATGAATTCATGCCCAAAATCACAGTTGAATTATTTAATAGTTACATTTTTCAAACAAGTTCATCTTAATATTATTCTTAGCTTTAAAAATCTCCTTTCTTAATAGTAATCAGAAATTGATAATAAGGAAAGTAGACATTTATAGATGCTATTCATATTAATTGGCTTTGTGATAGAACTGCAGATCGTATCTAGCATTTTAGTGGTACCATTTGTTTTAAATTAAGAGAAACAGTTTTTAAGATGCAATTTTGAACTTTTTTTTTAAAATGCTTCTCTAACTAAATCTGAAACACCTGTTTTTCTCAGAGACCAGCATGTTGATGAGGTGAAAGAAGACTTGGAAGAGAGAACAGAAGGTGAAAGAAAACCATCACAGGAAGCCAGAGGTAGCCATGATGTTCTCATGATTGATGGATATGAATACTAATACTCAGTAGTCCAAGCTTGACCGCAAGGGCATGTAGCTCAGTGGTACAGTGCTTGCCTAGACCCTGGGTTCAGTCTCTAGCACTGGTAAATAAGCAAAATAAAAACTTAACTGTAATACAGCAGTCCCATTTATATTAAAGATAAGCTTCATTCACTTGGCTCATTTTTTATTGCAGGCAATAAAATTTTATTGTCAAGGATAAATATAGCATGTAATTCATAATACAGATTTACCTGTGGCCTTATTAGCAGTGTCTTTCATCTAGCAGGACAGTATTGTATACAGTTTAGTAAGACTGTCTTTGGTTCTTGTCATACAGTTTCTTTAGTATTATTGGTGTTATTTGCTTCATATGTTTAAAACTGAATTCCAAATGTATTCTGAAATCCAAACCAAATATGGTCTTTAATCTAATACCACAAAGTGAAAGGAAAATCATTTGAACAAATGTTTCAAGTTGTACTGGAGAAAATAATTTCTCATCTCTTTATTGAAAAAAAACGGTGATTTATTTAAGCAGTGAAGTCATACCGACAGTCATAATATAGATTGTACTTGTAATTCAAACATAACTGTATAATTGTTATTTATTTTTTACAAGAAAATGTTGGTCTGGATATCAGTTTAATGACTGTTCCTGCAGACTTTGCATTTCGTATGTGTTTTTTGTTCAGATTATGATGGAAGATTTGAGAGCAGCCCCTAATGACTGGCTGCCTGCTGCGGCACATTCCATAATTGGTCTTCCAGTTTCTGTATCTGATTGTCATAAAGCAGTAATTAATGATTAATCGCAAAGTCAAGATCAGTGCCGAATTTGCCGTGTCTCATGGTGTTTCGTGCAGCGCTATGTGCAGACCCTGCAGGCAGCCAGGGCTTCCTCCTCCTCCGCCACATCCTCGTGTGACCCTGGCCATGTCGCTAAACACCTCTGTGCACTTCCATTGTTCTATGTCTGTCCAGAAGGACGATGATGATGTGTAAACTTCACGATGAGGCTGGAGAGCAGTACCTTATGTGCTTGCTTGGAACAGTGCTTGCCATATAGCACACCCCGAGCAAGCATATGACCATCTATCTAAAGGGGGAAAGAAATGTTTAGTTTACAAAGGTGTAGTTTTCAGGGCTTAAGCCTTTATTTGTACAGAACATTAGTTCCTTGGGGTAGGCAGGGTAGAGGTCTTTCAGGCCTCAGCTCTGCCACACACAAGCTGTGTGGCTGAGCTTCAGTTTCCCCTTATGGAGAGCTGATATGGTCCTAGTGCTCCGCTGTTGGATTACCCTGAGGATTAAATGCGTCTGTGGCGAAAGTGTCTCCCGTCATTAGCGGAGCCATCCTGGAATATGTGTCTAATTGTACATCAACAAGTGATCATGGAAGGCCCAGACAGTCAGAGTAAAGGCTTCTGGGCTCTGAACTGTTGGAGGGAATAGATTTAATAGCACTCTGATTTAATTTAGTGACCTGTTTACATTTTTATTTGCTAAACCAATTTTGGTATTTTTTCTTCAAAATTATCTATTTAATGGGGAATTTCATATTTTAACATTTGATGTGCATGATTATCTAATTTTTAATAGTTTCTGATTTTTTTCTATTGTTTTTGAGTTACCTGAGTTTGTTTTGTAATTCTTTCCAAAGAAATTGCTAGAATTCATATATAATTCTTAATTTTGTGGTTTTCCATATAATTTAATTTTATTATTTTTCTTACCTACACAGCCTGTAGTTCAATATCCATATTTTACTTATTGTCTTACTTTTCATTGGTGAAAGAAACTCTCATAAAAATAAGTTGTTTTGAAAACTGTTCGTATGTCTTTAGGTGAGTTTGGCCTATGATTTTTTTTCTTTATTATCTCATCCAGTTTTATCCCCCTAAAATTAATTTGATAACTTTTCTTCTTTTTCATATTTTAAAAATATTTTTAATAAGACTTTCATAAAATTAATCTTATGTTGTTTGATGCACTTCACATACTATCTTTCTTAGCTTTAACTTTCTTTTCATTTTTAAAATCAATGTGTTCTATACAGAACCATTTTGTACAGGAGAGATTTGGGTTCCCCTTTCTCGGCTCCCCATCCAGCGGGGTGCTGGTCATGGGGATCTGAACCCAGGGCCTCTGAGTCCTCAGCTAGGTCTTTCAGGGTTGAGGAGTTATGTGCCTCAGTGAGGGTGACCCTGGGCGTGGCTCAGACCCTGGGCGTCGGGTGTCCGCCTGCCTCCTGGGGCTTGGGGCTTGGCAGAGCCGTGATCTCTTGCCTTAGGCTGGGCTCCCTGGAAGCACACGCAGAGGATCCTGGGGGAAGTTCATTGGTGCGCATTCTTGGGAGCAGCAGCAGAGAGAGAGAAACAGGCTGTGCGGATGAGAAGGTGAGGTGTGATGTCATCACAGCAGAGACCCTGGTGGGTGCCAGTGAGCTGCCCCAGAGCTGTCCCACGTTCAGGCGTGGGGACCTGGCCTTTCTGCCTTGGAATGGCCTAATCCTCAGGTGTTGGCCAGGGAAGCCAGGGAAGCTTAGACAGCTCCTGGAAGAGGAGGCAGGCAGCCGGGCCATCCATGTTCAGCAAGTGGGAGAATGGGCACCTTCCTTCCGAAGGGCGAGCTGAGCGGCCTGCTAGTGTCCGCCACCTCCCTCCAGTTGTTTGACTTCTGTTCTTTCCTGTAAAGAAAATCAAGCAGAAAACAAACAAACAATCAAAATCAGAATATCATTTCACTCGTCCTGGGTTAGGCCAGTCAAACTGAATCCAATCTTTGGCTTAAAAAAAATAAACCTGGCTCTTCAATTTTCTTTCACAATTTCTACCTGGAAACTAATGAGTATTCTTTTTTTCCTTTTTTAAACCCAGGTCTTCTTTAGCTCTAGGAAGCTACCTTTAGTCATAGTTTAGATGATTGATTCTGGTCCACTTATCTCTTTCATGATTGGTCATACCTGTTCTCCAAGGGTTGAAGCCAAAGGCTGATATTCAGAATGTGAACTAGTTGACAGCCAGTGCGACACGGGATCATTAAACTAGCAGTGGCCTTCGTGCTGGAGCCGGGTGCCTGCCGGGCCAGGGGTTTCCCTGAGACTTTGGTGGGACTCAGGGAACCCCACAGAGTCACAGCTGTGGGGTGGGGAGGTGACTCACCAACCAGCATGGAACTACACTTGTTTTATTATTTTCACAACATACGCACTTCCTGGTATTATGGACATGTTTCTCAAGTTACAGTAGCTTATGTAACCTCTTGTTGTCGAGTCTGCTCTTTGCTGCCTTCAGCACAGGTTTTCACAACAGAGTTTTATTTTCCTGTGATTTGCTACACGGGCTCGTTCTCTTTTCAGAGCTTGCTGTTTGTAGAGGTGATGCCCCTGAGGGCACTCACTGAAAATGCTCACTGAAATCACAAAACTTCCGTCAGTAAATCAGGGCTCCTCTTCCGATGCTTTCTGGAACGTTTTGTCAGAAGCCCCGTGGTGATCATGTTCTGCTCTATCATTTTTAAGACCAAAGAAAGCTCCCGTGTCTTTTGTGAAGAGCACTTACCGCTTATCGCTCCACTTTGTGCCCCGGCAGAATTCCTCTTCCAGACGGAAGGCCGAAAGCCAAGGAGGTATCCACGTGCTGGGCTCCGCTCCGGACCTGAGCCCGCCCTCAGCCGCGGGTATCCTCAGTCCCATCCTCCATGGTAGAGCGGCCTTCCAGTTCCAGCTGGGCTAGGCCATTGGGAAGGCGAGAGAAACCCCTTGCTCTGCAGAGGAAGTGGACCTTGAAGCCACTAAATCTCCTTCCAAGGCCAATAGGATTTAAGACCCAGGAGGTCCTTGAGAACTGTTTCGTTTGGAGCCTTGGAGCAAATTGCTTTAAAAAAAGAAACTTCTCTCTAAAAAAGAAACCCCCCCCCCACGTTTCTTCAGTTAATTCAATTTAATCAGTGTAAGTAAGCATAATGATGAGCCCCTTTTGGTTAATTCCTGCCATGTTGAAGAATTTGACCTTTAAAGACTTTTACGGAATATAATTTGTTGTTGCTGTTGTTTTTTGTCTCCTCTACCTGAAAGTAAAAATAGCTCATTCCACCCTTGTGGAAAGGCCCATAATAAAGGTTTCTATAAATCAGCCTTCAAATTTCTTGTATTTCTGCAGAAGGTGCGGTTGTGTTTTCTCTCCTGCAAGCAGCCTCTCACGGGTGGCTTCTGTGTACAAAGAGCTGAATGGTATTTTATAGTGTGCTCGATTCTCACTCGAAAAAAAAATCCAGCTTCATTTTTGTCTGTAGCATTTGGTTTGTTGCTTTGATTGTTAACCTTGAAATGATTTTCAAAATAATCTTTCATGCCTGAGATTGAGTTTCTTGGAAATTAATTGTATCTCTATTCCTTAGTACTTCAAATCCATTTCTTTTCCTCTAACACATATTGCTCATCCTTCAGTTATCGGTTGGTAACCCCATTTAAAAAATTGTTAGCAGATGTATCTCATTTCTTCTGCCTGTTTTGCTCTTTCACAGTAAGAGCTGATTTTAAAGCCCCCTAAAAGTTAGCCTAGTCTTAATTTTTGCCATTTTATGTCCAGTGTACTCTCCATAATTTACCTTTCTTCCAGGGTAGGAATAATTTTATTCTTTGTCGTGTGTTTCCTATGTATCAGAAACTGGGATAAGCATTTAGAAACTATCATGCAATCCTTACAGGAATGCTGTTAAATGGATACAGCCAGGTTGTCTGTGATAGAGGAGGGATTCGAATCCAGCTTGCTCCAAAACTCACCCTCAGTCTATATATTCTATCGGGGTACAGAAGAGCTGGGGTGTCCTGGCTGCCCTGTCTGATGACATGCTGTCCCCAGAATCCTGAGGTGGCTCCTGCTCGTGGTGTGGTGTGGTCGGCAGGGCTGGGTCTGTTTCCTCATCTTACAAGCAACTCCTTCGCGCTGCCAGTTGACACTAACACGAGGCAAG